TATTAGGGGGGGGGGGGGGGGTATCGCAAGTTGCCTACGTACAGGGGTTTTGTAGGTCAAATTGCCTACCTTTAGGCGGCTACCTAGTGCACCACAGGGGGCGATCCGCTCCCCGTTCGCGCCTGTGTGTACATGCGTAGCACACAATTCTCAGTGTCTAAATACGTGCTACATAGCGTAACGCTATCGCAAGAACACACTTCCAAGTGTATGCCGTGTATGTACACACTTCCTGGTATGTTGTTTCAAGTACACATAAGGAAGGGTGTACTATGTCACAATGGGGTTTACAGTGTACAGTTAGCGTGTTCCTCTCGGGCTTCGTAAACCTATCCAAACCTTCTCGCTCAATGCATTGTGCCGCGGTTAAGACCATGTTCGCACTCGCGAGAGAAAATAGCGCTATTCTTTGTGACGACAGTCCAACGGGGAATTCTGGCAGTGCCTATTAGAATCAGCTACGGGTCTTTCTTTTTATTAACTAACACGTTCGCTCTTTCGAAGGAAAAGGGGCAATATTAAACAAACGGAAAAACAAAAGTTTTTGCGGGCCCTTCACTGGACAAACAAAGGTGCTACGTCCCCATTTGAAAGGCACTTAAGATCAAGTGCCTGTACACAGACACTAACAGACTAACACTTCTAAATAAGCCACTAATTTTTAACATCTTTAGGCCTCTTTAGTGCCTCCGCTTTCACAACGAAAACGTCTTATACTTTTGGTAAAGCCTTTCGCATCAGATGATTTCCCGATCTTAAAGACCTCCACCAGCAAGCACAGGCCGGCCTAGTTCAGCCCCACGCGGCTGTACGTCCCTCGGCATCGCATGGCTCCGCAGATCCGGGAGCTGACAGCGGTCTCTTCGGGGTCTCCAGCTGAGTGCTGAGTGTGCCGGTCTCACGTAGAGAAGACTTTATGTGCCACAGTGATGTACAGGAAGAACAATGTACCCGACTAACAATACACCGGACAAAAAGTAAATATATATATGGGTCATAATGATCTTGACGGCAGACAATGCTTATCGTGCCGAATGATGAACCAGTATCAGTAAGAAATTGCCGTAACGAATACGGGAGAATTTTCCATGAATGCTTTCAAATATCTTGATGTCGTAAGTCTATGACATTTGAAGTAATCCCCATCGATAAATTTAAGCCGTAAAGATACATCACATATGTAAAGTTACAAATTAAATACAACTTATATCGTAAATGTCCACACGGATTATTGACAAGCATGGTGAGCCGGCCTTAGCGAGCCCCCCCCCCCCCCCCCCCACCCTTCCTCGCACCGGCACTCGCCTATCACTCGCCTCCCTCACACTCGCACACCACGCGCATTTATGTACGTGGAAGTGCGCGTCCTGAAATGGACTGGCCGCGCTCCTGCTGCAGTGACAACTAAGAGATTGAAATATGGAGGATGGAATCTAGAGATGGTACACTCTAAATGTAAAGGGACAATTTTGTCCGTAGATTTGCAACGATTTCGTGCACATCCAGAAAGGATGCAATTTTGTTCCTAAAACTAGACAAATTGTGTGAAACTTCACACAATTTGTCCAATTAAGGGAACAAAATTGCATCCTTTCTGGATGTGCACGAAATCGTTGCAAATCTACGGACAAAATTGTCCCTTGACATTTAGAGTGTACAGAAGCAGCATCCGCATCTCTACTAAACATGTCGCACGCACCGCGATCATATTATTACGATATGCTGAAATTGCACGTGGGCGTTTCGTCAGGCCGCAGCATCGATCATATTAATGAAGGAAGTGATCTTTGGCCTACATATTTGAAGCGGAGCCAAGTGCGTCGTCTCGGCTGACGAGAGTGCGTGCGGACAGTGCGGGCGTGCGCAGCAGCGCAGTGCACGGCAGCGAAGTGATGCGGAGGAAACGCCGATATATGGGGATTGGAAAGGGTTCACTAGTGTGAGCAACTGGATCTTGCCAATCAGGGTAGAGGTGAACTGACGTCCTCAAGAGATTGAGCCACGCGTGCCACATGTACAAGGGGAACATTTAACGACCCCGAGTAACACACATGAAATTGTCGATCGACAGTGTTTTTGTGGTCGGCAATAAAAGGCGTCACTAATATAGGTGTGGGCTAAAGGAGGGAGGGGCACAGATCAGGGAGTGCAAAAACTGTGCGGATGAATGGATGAAAGTAGCGGCGAATGAGGCGCACCGGAGGCATTCAGGGGAGGGGCGAGGCGCGCGCGTGCTAGAGATGCGGGCTCCACTGGCCCAGCCCGGCCTAACGCCGCCCCGGCTCCAGAGCGAGGCAAACAGCTACCGGCCAGTGGATTCCCCCCGAAAAATAAGATCCGCACGGAGACACGACGTTCGAATACCCCCGGCTACCCCCGGCCGCCCCCAGCCACCCCGCGGCCACCCCCGCGGCTGCCCAGTTGTGGCGATAAGCAGAGACTAGTGTTGTAATACCGGCCCACTATCCACCGCAGGCACAACGGATTGGCTTTTGAACGGGCCGATCTGCCCGCCGGTCAAAAAATACCATTCTGCGGACGTTATTGTTAAATGCCGGAGAAAATGCGTTTTTAAGAAGCGTTAGCCCGTTTCGCTTCCGCGACGACGTGCACGCGATGGAAAGGTAGCTGTTGGAGATAAGAGATGCCCTTGTTCTGCTCGTGTGATGTTAAACCAGGTCGGCGTTAGGCCAAAATTCTTGTTTAAGACATGAGTGAGAATGCGGAGAACAGATGCGCTAGATTCTTTAAACTTCACCTCCGTAGAACAGCAGCTAAAAACTGGAGTAAGTTTTGTGAGTTTTGTTCAATTTTTCCGTGCTTCATAGGATCAAAATTGCACCCGGTCTGGGTAAGCGCGAAAACGATCTAATTTTTGGGAACAAAGGTGTCCCTTTACATCTTGAGTGTACATACTTGGGTTTCCAGAGGATGCTAAAGGCTATAGCGGCGCCTGTTCCACGTGGCGAGCCGCTCGCGAGGTCTGTCTGGTTTGTTCGATTTAATAAGACCTGGCGTAGAGAAGAGCATTCCCTAACCGCAGCTCTGGTCCGAGCTCAGCCGGGGTTCGTCTTTCACGACAGGTAGACTGACAGGCGCTTCAGTTTACTTCACCAGCACGGCGACGTAGCGTAATTGTGACGGGTAAATTGCTTCGCGCGGTAATTTTCCCTAAAATATTTTTGTTTCGTTTCTCTGCTGACTATTATACCACTCAAGCCGGCTTAACGAACTATGTGGGATGATCGTCGAAAATAATTTGCAGCATGCGGCCTAGTGTGTGCACTTGGCATGAGTTTATCATCAAACAAAAGTGTTTTATTTTTTATTTTATTTTTTTGAAGGCCCAACGGCAGGGCGTCTACGGACGAAACACGCTGCCGTATGGTACATCGATAACTTTTATCAGGACCGTTAATTTGCGTTTCGCGCCGCCCATTAGGCGCTTGATAGTTCCCCGCTGCAGCGATGAAATGATACCGCCGGTGATACCCCAACCACCCGCCAGACACACACCGCTACACATAGGGTGGTGTAGGTCACGTATGTGAAAAACAAATGGTTGTTGAGAATTACAACTATGTATTTTTCAATTTATCGAGTAAACTTGTTAGATAGTTAAAATGGCCTGTACAAAAGCGACTTGATTATATTATAAATTGAAAACATTAGAAACAACAAGCTGTGTGTAACTAAAGTATTTTTTTTCAAGATCTCGGCACACTAACTAGGGAGGAATACAAAAAGAAAACAGTCTTCGTTTTAAGTGCACCCAGAAAACGGTTCCGTTGATTTTATGTATGATGTTATGCTAGAATTGTTCTCTTGATTCATGTGATGTGTCTATTCTTTAAACGGAAAATGGCCATAGGTGGAAGAATCATCCTTTAAAACAAAAGAAAGCTCCTTCAAATTAAAGAAAAATTCTAGCATGTCTATATGAAGGGAAATTTCCGTTGGAATAAGGGGATTACCGTTAGTTCAATGCAACTATTTTCTCTGTGTGCAGCGATGTGGACTACTCAAATCTTTGTTGAGTCCGTTACACAACTAACTGTGCTCTGAACTTGCTCAAATTGAGTCTAAAATTTATTCGGCACAGTCATGGTCGAGTAGTACTTTAATTCAATCGCATGGACTTGGAACAGGCCCTTGCTGTTCCGGGTGAAAGGGACGCAGAGACATACCGAACCGTCCCTATGCCGCTCAGTACGAATTGCATCCCGAGCGTGCAAGCAGAAGACAACCCCGACCTTGGCCGCCCCTGCCCCGCCGCCCCGCCCCGCCGGTGCGGAACTGGCGTGCGGGTGGGGCGGCGGGGGCCCCGGTGTGCGGGGGCCGGCTCGGTCCGGGGCGGTGTGCCGGGGCCCTCGCGCGCGCGCCAGGCGGCCCGGCCCGGCAGTCTCTAGTCAGCCCGCGGCGCGTCCACACCGCGTCTGAGAGAGAACCCCGCGCGCATAGCGGCGGCCTGCAGACAGAGCTCACCCAGCTGGTCCGGTCCCACCCTCGAGCTCTATTTGTTTTTCTATTTCGTGTTCTTTCGGTCCCGTGATATTATTTGAAGTCCTGTGCGCGTTCTCAAAAGAGATAACGAAAAAAAATCACACAAACAGTGACGAAGAATTCGCCGCAGGGGTCACGAATCCTGGAATAACGACATGTGACACCCTGCAGTGGACATCTTAGTTGTTAAGTGATATATATATATATATATATAGTGAGTGTCAAGTGCGTGTGGCGGGCAACTCGAAGCACCGCGAAAACAAGTGTCGGACCCTTCCAAAACCACTACTAGTACTAAGGGTACTACTAGTTCTACAACCACCACCACCGCCATCGCCAGCACGGCCATGTCGAGCGTGAGCCGGTCTGGCTCGCCCACCCCCAGCACGGACAGCGACGTCCGAGTCCCCGTGAGTAGCAGAGTGCATTATTAAGTGCAATGGGATTGCAGTATTGCAGTGGTCCTTGCTGCCATGCAATACCTCCTCGTACCCTGAGAGAAAATCCATCCGCCACTTTAGTTCATTTAGCAGATTGCAGACAGTTGTCTAAGTTGTGTGACAGGTATTTAGCCATAGTAACTGTTCAGTTTCGGCGCAATGTAACGCAAAACGTAAACACACAATACAATACTTTCATTTCATAAAAGATGGG